TTTTGGATGTAATAATCGTTCATTATAAAGTTACAAGATGCATTGAGTGATGAAATTTTATTGACATAAGTACAAAATCATGTAAATAAGATACAGTTAAAAAATGAGAATTTGTTTAGAAATAATTACACTATCACGAAAATAGGAAAATGATCATGAATTGAAGCACAAAAAATTACTCCGAAAACAGTCTCAAGGTTCTGACAAATCCAGTTTTTTTTACAGTTTATGACTGGAGTCCCATTCTTAGTGATGAGGTCCGCAGCTATTGGTTGTAGCCGGGGCATCGCAGGACGACGCTGGTGCATTCTTCCCATCGTACGTGTGTTGACCTGGTTGAGTCTGTTTGGTTCAATCGAAGTTTTAAGATTTCCGTTTCGATGGTTCTATTTGCAGACCCATTATTGACTAAGATTCTTTTGCAAATTCTCAGCTACGTATTAAGGTCATTTTCAGGTGAGCAGGTTTTGAGAGCTCGTTGGATGCGAGCGCGTATTCCGCTTCTTTTGTAGCGCTCTGGGCATTCGCTGGCGGCGTTCAGGACCCTCCTGACACTTGTTGGTTTTTTGATATACTTTGGTGACGAACGAATTATTTTTAGCTTGGACGAATATATCTAAAAAAGGTAAAGTACGATTTTGCCCAAGTTCGACCTTCAAACTACTGACTGGATTTGACAAAACCTTGAGACAGTTTTTGGAGTATTTTTTTGTACTTCAATTCTTGATCATCTCCCTACATTCGTGATTGCGTAACTATTTTTAACCAAATTCTGATTTCTGAGTAGTATCCTATTTACACGATTTTGCACTTACGTTGATCCAAATTTCACCACTCAGTGCGTCCTGCAACTTGATAATGAGTGATTGATACGTTCGAAACGTTGTTAGCGAATTAAAAAATTTCCATCGGTACCCTTATTTTTTATTTACTAGTGGAAACGAAAAATAGTATTCGAATAATATTATTCGAAAAATACTATTCGAGTACAAATAGTCAAGTAATACTTAAGTACGAGAATTTCGCGTTTTCTAACTGGTCTAGGAATTGGTGCATAGCTAAAAAAATATAACTCAGTACTCACTGCAGTGAGTGACAGAGAGCGCATTTTCTCATCGACGAAAACGTAAAGTCACGGACGGACGGATATGACAAGCACAATAGGGCATTTTTTCATAAATGAAAAAATGCGCTAAAAATAATAAATTATTGCTCACATTTATTCACTCTCCGGGTCGTTCGCCGAATTGTCTGCTTGTGCTGCATTTTCTGTAGGTCAACTGCAAATGTTTCTCTTGTAACAGAACGACGTAACAGTTAGTTATTAACTTGCTATCCTGAGGGTACCTTGAGATCATCGCAAGGCTCCTAAAGTAGTGACAAGGATAATGACGCTACCGTGTTTTAGAATAAGTATGCCTCATTATGCTGGTGGTCTCTGACCAGCGGCCTTGTTTGTCGAGCTCTCTAAAAGTAATGCTTGACCAATTATGGCAGGAAGGAGATTTTTTTTGTGTATCGTTACATGTTTCAGCGAAAAAAGGAGATTTTTTAGTGTATCACTACATGTTTCAAAAAAATTGATTTGTAAGGAAATTAGGTGAGACAGTTCAGTTATTTGTTGGGAAATCTCTTCAGTATTTACAGCGCTACAATGATACTTAAATAAGGGAAATCGCATTAACGTTATCTTAAGTAGTTGCATAACTGTTTTTCTAAGTCGAATTTCTTTTATACCTAACGTCCGGAAACGATGCATGAGTTTCAGAACCGCATAGACTTGCATCGTGCGGCTGGCAAGGTTGTGCGAATTACGGCTGACGTACCAGGACTTGCTTGACGAGTGCAGCGCTTTCAACAATGCAATTGTTGCGATGCTCTTCAGCGAACTTAAAGGATTATTCAATACTCTGATTTCATGTTTTTGTTTTTATACAAGACTTATGAAACTAATAAATTAATTATTCAGGTCTAAATTTTGGTTGGAGTTTCCAAGTGACAAGAGCAAAATATTCATGGGCTGATCATCACATCTTCAAAATAATATAATAAATAACAGCGGTTTCAGCATTTATCAGGCCGTATGCCTGTCGCCGATTCTTGAAACCGCAGAACATTCACAGCTTATTGCAGTTTCGAACTCGCTACTCACTGCTCCAATTCTGCTGTGCTTAACCGCCCGGCCTCCTTAATTGCCGATTCTGATCAGAAACTGGCGCACAGAGCTGGGATCGAACCCGCGCCTCTCTGCGCCAATCTTGGTACTCGAACTCTAACCACTGGGCCACCCTGCCACGATAAATACAGGTTCCTTTAATTTTTTGTAACGAAAATATTCTTTTTTAATCCTTTGCGTAATTTATGTAATGAATAAATTTTAATGCCATAAGTTGTTTCATATTAGCATTTATGCGACCAAATTTTTTCTTGAACACTATTAGTTTTTGCCATTGATTACGGTGCGATTTTACACAACAAGCTTCTCTCATCCATTATAAAAGCCTGTGTTAATTTATTATGAAACATAATAATCAATATTTATTCTGTTAATCCAAGGTTATTTAACTTAATAGCCTTATACATCCAGAATTGTATGAGACACAAAATTTCCTAATATCTATTACTGAAAGTGTCCATTATTGTAAAAAATATTCCTGTATTCAGGTCTTCGTCCCAGCGCACACCGCAAAAAGTAGTTTTAGTTCAAACCTGCAGGGTGGATAAGTTCTTGTCACTCGCTTCTTTCTTGCAATGCCATCGAACTAAATGTAGGTTCCATGGAGCATACTCATGCAGACCAAGCATGCAAAAAATTATACTTCTTTCATAGAACTTCATCTGGACTTCATTAGAGTTGAGAATTATAGCGGGAAAGCCCTGATCGGATAAGACAAGATTTCTTAAATAACACTCAATTGATCTTGGATTCTTAAGCTGAAACTTTTCTTCCAATAAAGCTATACAGGTTCAGCGCATCCGAACTTTGAAAGCTAATTATTATAAGTATATAAGCTAATGTTGCTATAAAATTTACTGGGTCATTTTCGTATTTAATAGACAAACTAAATTAATATAGTAATAAAAACTTGAATATTTAACAAAAATCGCTATTTTGGTGTATGTAAATCACATTCTTGAATAAGTTAGGAGAATTTGTTCATCTTATTGATTATAGATCTGACTTTAGTAACAGAAACCTCCCGCGATAACTCAGTACTCACTGAACTGAGTGACAGAGAGCGCATTTTCTCTTCGACGAAACGTGAAGTCACGGACGGACAGACAGACGGACATGGCGAGCACAATAGTGCATTTTTTTCATAAATGAGAAAATGCGCCAAAAAGGGAAAGAATCTATCAATTGCATGGCTCGTGAATATCCTTTTTTTAGGTATAACGCAGACTTCTTTCAGATCTCAACATTTTTTTGTCGCATGTATTTTTTGGGAAATTTTTAACATGTTTGATTGGAGAATGAATAGATTCCGAAAAAAATTAAAATTGAATTTCCCTTCAATAGGTTGGGAATTTGAGAAAAGGGTAAATCGACCAAGGCAAAGTGGACTTACAAAATGGAAAGCTAAACTTTAATATTTATGATCATTTATTAATCACGGTCCATGCATGAATACAGAACGCAAAAAAAAACTAAAAATTTGCATTCATAGAACATCAAAATAAAAAATTATCCAGTGTAAATGATGGCTTTTTACCCACTTGGGATAAGCTTCCTTACGTCATATTCTTTGAACGGGTGCTTACCAAAATATGAAACACTACCATTTATTTTAAGTGAAGACAAATACGCACCAGTATTTTCTCGCGCTTGAATTTCTTAGAAATTTACGCACGAGCATTTTCTAAGAAATTCTAAGCTCGTGTCACCGCAGGAGTGAGTCAAACTACAATGCAAAAGGCGGAAAATTTCCTGGAGTCGGGTAACCAAGGCTGCAAATTGGTTTGAAACGAGGTAACCAATAATTTTAGTACTGTGCTCCTTGAGTTAGCGCTGCACCAACCTTTTTTAGCGCATTTTCTCATTTATGGAAAAAATGCACTATTGTGATCGCCATGTCCGTCTGTCTGTCTGTCCGTCCGTCTGTCTGTCCGTCCGTCCGTGACCTCAAGTTTTCGTCGACGAGAAAATGCGCTCTCTGTCACTCACTTCAGTGAGTACTGAGTTATACTTTTTAACTTCTGCAGCTGCATGCACACTGGACAACTGGCGTACAAAACCGGCTTCAACAGGCAAAACAGTTTTGGCCCCGGCATTGTTAGCCCTGCGTCACACCTAAAAACTTGTTTCGACTTAATTGGCTCAACGGGGAAACATCAGATGATCAGGAAACTGCATTCTTCATCAAGTGAGTTTTTATGCTGACTCTACAATACTTATCTTCACTCGTCACTTATTAGTTCAATTAACATTTTCGGACTTTGCAGTTTGATAATTATACAGGTATGATGCAAGAAAAAACATTCATCATATTACAATCGGTTAAAAATTATGTTCTATTGGTTTTCATCAGTAACTTGTTTATGTACTTATTTTTCTCTTTGGATTTATTGTAAATTATTTTACGGTTTTCGTAGACAAACCGAGATATTCCAAGAGCTAACACTGGGACGACTAAAAATAGCATCCCATCACTCCTATTCAATTCCATTCACTTAAAAGACGATGGCTTTTTTCCGATCGGCATTCGGGAACCTTCCCATGTACAAGCCGCAGTTACCGACGAGTAGTATAATTAATTGTAACATTCAGTATGCGTGGGACCGAATTCCCTCTCGTCTCTGTTCATGTAAATCTTAGTCTTTACTCATTTTTGTCTTAGTCTCTGCGCTAGTAAGTATTTGTCTACTCTTTTATGTCTCATTCTCAGTTCCTGTAAGCATTATTTTCTGTTCTTGCATGTTCTATTTATCGACGCCAGCAAGAGAACTGTGCCTTGTGGCTGTGTATTTATATTCATAAGGACCACCGCCAAGCGGTTCATTGCCTCGCCGAGCGTCGTCGTGGAAGCATGTGGACGGTATGAAGTTCTCAATGTTGACTTTGCTCTGTAGGATTATTGTGCAAAAGAAGTGATGTGTAATGCTTTTTCAAACCGTTCTTTATGATGGCAAGTAATTTTATTCCGTTTCATGTAATATAGTTAATTCACTAATAACGCTGGCACAAACTTTATTACGCCTAACCTAATTATTGTCATTATTATTAAATTGGCCAGCGCAGAGATTGAAAAGCGTCCATATTATTGGCTTAAATCAACTCTCAAAGACAGTGGATGTAATAACAATGACGTTACAAAAATCAAAGTTTTAAATAAAAATATATGATCGGGTTTAAACGATATCTTAAACTAGATCTCTAAAATGACTGGTCACAATATGAATAAATTTCTTAAATTTATCACAAAATAACTTACGGATGTGCTTGGTCCTACATTTCTGAATCCTGTATGAGGAAGTCTCCTACCGTTTCTCTATAAGCTCTAAGCATACAGTTTTATTTATACTTTGAGTAACATGTGCGTGAAAAGACAATGGCACAATGAATGAATGTAAATTGGAATATAAAGTCATTATAATATATGCTTAAAATATAAATAAAATATGTAATATATGCTCAACTAAAATAAAGTCATTATAATGCTCAAGTAGAATGTTAAAGAAATAAATTTGGAAAACTGAAAATGTATAAAACACCATGTAACCTAGTCGTCACGTGTGTCGAGATCACGAATAATTGGCGTGTGAGACGTAGCAACTAATGAACGGTTCCTAGAGCGCTGCCATTAGGTGCGTGAAGAAAAATACAACACAAATAGAATTTAATACCAAAGGAAGAGAAAAAGACATCTTGTTGTACGAGGAACGGCATTTTTGGCATCTCTTCCGAACATTAGAATTTTTGCCTAATTGTGAGTGAATGTTCGCTAATGAGTTTCATCAAAACCTATAAATTTATCGTCACGATATGCACCTTATATTACTCTGTATTCATCCGATTAAAGTTTAACAGTAGTTAGAGATATTTACCATTTAAACGTTTCTTAATAAAGAAATGGAATATAAAGCTTTTGGAATTCTATGTTTAATTTTGAATCCATGCTTTATTTGCACTTGATTACCACAAAAATTCTATGATATAATTATTCATGTAGTACATTATTTTTTTATTAGAATTACCCTTGCGTTTACGGTCAGTGATAATGTACAACTACATGCAAGGAAATAGTTTACGAGATGAGACCAACGCATTACAATCAGAGCTTATTTACAAAATTCAATAATTTGTAATTTTAACATGCGATAACTGTTGCAAAGTCAGTAAGTAACAATGTTTTTACATACAATGGCAGTATTTCCTTTCAACTGATATCATTTATATTGAGCTGATGGCTTGAACATATTTTTTGCAGATTTTCATTCTCACGATCTGCTACCTAACAGTAGCCGTCACAGAGGGCAGGCCTCAGGACCATGCGGCCATTCTTGTTGATACAATAAATGGACCCGACGAGTTTGGAAATTTCGATTTCAGGTAGACGATCTCAACTAAGAACCACTGGTGTAAATATAATTTTAAATCTTTGCTTAATTCAGGTGTATGTTTTTTCGTTAAATTACAGTTGTCTGTGTTCTTCACTATAATTTGGTGAAATTCATCAGATACGAGACGGGGGACGGCATCTTCCACGAGGCGCGGGGACGCAACAACGGGGACGGCATCGTCAGAGTTCAGGGACGATACTCGTGAGTGTGCTGAGGTATCTAATGTACTAAAAAATGTGTATTAAACGTTTAAATATAAATGCTACTTATTATGAACTGGCAAATTGGGAATATTATTTTCAATTTGCCAGTTCATTTAACATGTCAGTTCATTGTTTGGTGAATCGTTCCAACTTCGTGTACGTAAATTTATGACTATATATAATTCATTACAGGTAATGTTCAATTATTCGTGATTTCTGGGAATTTACAGGTACATCTGCTCACCTTTAGCATTTATAAAAAATTTATTTGTTGCTATCCAGCAGGATCAATGATGATGCAACTATTTAGTTTTGTATTTGCCGCATCGTTTTCATTACTTCAAACAAATTTAAGGATGACTAGCATTTTGAGTATTTATCCAGAATACTTATTCAAATGGTCGTTTTCCTTAAATATTTTTCTATAAGATAACCATTAATTGGTCAGACATAATAGCAGTATTGTTAAACCTAACGCTTGCTCCTTTTTTGTACCGTCTATATAGGTTCTGAACATTTCAATAGACGATTTTTATAACTCTTGGTCATTGTATTTCTGCTTCCGTACGAGTAGGGTTGTTCTTAGCGTATGCGTTATATGAATGCCACTTTAGGTATAAGTATCGTGAACTAAATATGTATGTATCGTATTGGAAATAATGAAATGTAATTCCTATTGCACACGTAGCGAAATTCCTAACAACGACGTTCGAGTCTAATTTTTCCTGTCGCCAGATACACGTCACCTGAGGGAGAGATGGTCGAGGTAGCATACACCGGAGATGAGCACGGCTATAGGGCAGTCGGTCCTCTCGTGCCGGCGTCATCCCGCGTGTCAGGGCTTGTGGCTTCGGAGCGAGCCGCTCAAGGCCCCTTTTCCAGGTCAGCTTGACGATGTTAACTATTAATGTCTTTATAAATAGTTAAAAATATTACAATTGTTGTCTTTCAATATATGCGAGATTCATCACAGATGGCAGGTAGATATGTAATTAAGCAAAACTTATCCGGTGGGCGGGAAAATGATCTTATACGGACATATGATCGAATAGACAACTGATCTAGAAGACAACTCGTCCAACTGACATCTGGTCTTAGACATCAGGTCTAACGTGCATCTGGTGTCAACAAGTAGTGGTACCTAGCTATCGATAATTATGTCACTAAATATCGTTATTCTAAACCTAAAAGAAATGTTTATAAAATATTTGACGAATATTTAATCTTATTTACATAGTTTATTGACGTCACTCACCTTGCGTAGGTGACGTCAAAAATTTTTTAGCTTAAGCCCGGCGATTTAACACTCGTGTAAGAAGGGTTCATTCGGAGCCAAAACGGGTCATGTTCTAATGGGTCATGTTATATTTTTTAAACTCTTTACTTTGCGTTAATTGTATTTCTGATTATCTGTAATTGTCTAAAAATGACATAGAGCGTATGTTTCTATTTGAAAAGTCGATAGTAAATACAGGCTAAGAAAATGAATTCATACTGAAAAAATCATATTGGAGCAAAACCCTACATCGTAAGGCGTCATTGTAAAACCATATTACTTTTTACGTTTTTTCTATAATTTAACGTCTCTTGGAATTCAGAGAGGCCGCCGAGAACTCGAACCCCGAGAACGAAAACGGCAGCCAGACCGTTAGACCTCCTCCAGAACCTGCCTCCACGTATGTGTCTGAACTTTGTTTTGTGTTTTGTTTTTCATGTCGAAAAAAATCGTAAAACCTTGTAGATTTCTGGTGAATTCTTAAAGTACTTGTATTGTCCAGGAATTGAAATGAAAATTGATTTATGAAGTAAACCGGTATTCTAACAGGAGGTTTCTTCCAAAGTCTGGGGCGAGATGTTTACAAATCAGCTTGTGCTATATAATATATATGTTATGGGAATGTTTTGTTTCGTGTTGCTTAATTTGATCTGACCAAAGAAGCTCTTTTCCGCTTTCTCTCTAAATTAAATTGTTTCTTCATCAGCTGTGAATACATAATTATTAGGATTAGCATTAGGATAGTTTAAAGAACTTGATAGTTTCCCTGATCCTAAAATCTAAAACGTTACTATATATTTACTTAAAAGCATGGTTTGACAACCATCAACGGCTATTAAAAAGGAATTGTAACTGCATTTTTGCTCGTCATTTTTAATTTGTTCAAAAACATTTCATTGATATCGAACGAGAATGAACGCGAATATATTTATCCATGCATGTCAAGAAGTGGTGTTCTGATTATGTTCTATGTGCACAGGGACAAACCGTCCGCCCCCGAGGGCCTTCCTTCTTCAGTAGGCATAAGGATAAAACCTAGCGCCGTCCGCCGCACGGCCGGGGAGAAAGCAGGATGACCAGCGCCCCTGCTACGTCGTTGCTGCGACTTCACAAACTGATTTCATTTGCGTCACAGTTTCAAAGAAGTTCATTATTTAATATATTAGAAATTTAATTTTTTTTTATTCTTACGAATTAATAAACTATTTAAATGAGCACATTTTCCAACTCTATAGTTTTTTATTGAGATGCCTCTATCAAGTCTAATTCAGGATTTTATTTGTCCTTCATACGAGTACGTCTAGCGAAACCCGCAATGTTTTCATCATCTTAGCCTGTTTTAGAATTAGTATAAATAACTTCTTAACTCCAGCTTCAGCCGTTTCCTAAATACGTTTTCCGGTTAAAACTTGAATGATTCAACAGCAAATATCATATTACTGAAGGATTTGATTCATTTATCAACTGTGCAATGACTATAAATGTTATAGATGTTAGTTCAACCATTTCAAATATTACATTTTACGGAGATAACTACCGTGATACAACGTGGAATATTCCTACCTAACCCGAGAAATCCATTCAATTTCTAACTGCGCAGTGGCTATATTAATGGCATAGATGTCAATGTACCCGTCCCATAATTAGGTTCTCCAATTTTAAAACTTGTCTGTTCAGTCAATTCAAAATTGCATTTTCGATAGTTACTTTCATGATTCAATATCAGATGTATGTTCTAATGTTGTTCAAATATATAACTTTTTCCATCATATATAAAAATTTATTTACTTGAAAATGAAAAATATGCCGCTCAAATTTCACGAGTGATTTCACGAGTTCAGTTGTTTCTGAAATGGAATTAGTTGTAATAACTTTTTGAAGACAAATTTGTAGTTCCCCTAAACGTAGAAATTTATTCACGTAACAATGGCACAAATGTTTTTCGAATTTCCCTAGTGGCAGTTCAGCCGTCTCTGAAATAGACTAATTATAAACAACTTTTTGAATTCTTGAAAATTTCCCTAGACCTAGAAATTTATCAACTCCAAAACAGCAAAAATTTTAGTTAAATTTCGTGCGTTTCAGTTCAGCCGTTTATGAAATTGAATTGGTATTATTAACTTTTTAGATTCATTTTAAAAATTCCACCAAACCTAGGAATTAATTCAATTTAAAGCGGTGAAAATTCTGTTCAAATTCCACGAGTGTCAGTTCAGCCGGTTGGGCAAGACCCAAGACATGCAGTCAGTTTGGGTTGGCCAAGACTATCTTTTATGGATCTATGGCTATGCCAAAATTCCGGAATGCTGACAGTTCTGCTGTTCTCTGTGAGTTGTAGTCCTTGGTTACTTTGGAGTTTGAAGCTTCGGTAATCATCGACAAGACCATTTAATTTATCTTCAGGCTCAAGATTTTTGAACTGTGCGACTAATGTTGTAATGAAAAAAAGTAAATAATTGCAGACAAAGCTTGTGGGTTTAAAATTTTAAGTTGTGCAATAATGCTTCTATCATCAAATGAAAATCTGCGTCTGATTTGTACACAAAATGCTACCAAGAAGTTCAAACAGCCTTTTCTGAATTTTCCGCGAATGTCATCATTAGCCAGGGGCTCTTGCTCCAACACTCCCATTGTTCTACCACTAAGAAATATATCTTCAAGAGGTTTGAATATACTTATTTTATATACATAGCTTGGATCTACATCACATAGTTTTGGTTTTGTCAAGAATTCTTCATTGATGAAATAGCTTAATATATTTTTATATTCAGCATATACCATCGAGTGAAGGACATGCAACCTAAAATGTTCAGATTGACATTCCAAGTTGAGTGCATTAACTTTCTTCAGAACATATTAAGCAAAACATGGCATATATATAGCATAGCAAAACGTTTACGAGCTCCATAAAATTGATCAGTTTTTGCCTGCGATTCAAAGTAAAGAATCAAATCATATCACTGCTCCAATACAACGAAATTACATGCTCTCTCGACTGGGTATTGAACTGAACTGGCAGAACTGCCTCTTCATTTATAACCAACACGCACGCGAACTGTACGAGTTCTGTACGAACGTGTACGAACATGTATTAGAAATTATAACAAGTAGTATTTCCATTTTCTTGGCAATAATTATTGATTGATTTTCGCTTTCAGTGCATCATTCTCAAAAAACTTAGATTTGGATCAGTTTGTAAATTGAAAACCTAGAAACCTAGCTGGAAGCTCAAAAACCTAGATCTGAGTTTATAAACCTAGCGCTGGCAGTCTTAGGGCCCAGCTGAAGAAGACAAGTTCAATTATTCATCTCTGACATCGCAGTTTTCCTAAACGGTACCATGCGGAACAATGTCATTTGCTAAATAAAATTCTATCTCTTTACCGCCAACTTACTCCCCCCCCCCCCCAAACTAATTTCCACTCATTTCTCCATGTACTTTTCCAAATCGAAGTAAACACATAGAGCATCCATAACTCAGATGAGTAATTCCAAGTTTACAGGGTATAATGTTATACCATATAGCTATATTAGATTTTCCGTTCGCTCCTTCAACAATCGACAACTATTCTGTTTAAATTCCAGTATAGTTTTACTCGCGTTCTGAGGCCTGCTTGCCAAATCGAACGTCCTGCCTCATCCAGATAATTATTTTTTGACTACCCTGTACCATAAGGTGCCTGTACACGTGGACAGTACTGGCGGCTAGTAGATCTGAAAAATGCCAAATGTCTGCCGCTTGATGTCTATCCCGCAAGTAAGCTTAGACACGAGGCAAGTTTAAGGTGCCGCCGTGCCGGTATCAGTCGTTACCGGCACGGCGACCCCTTTAACTTGCCTCGTGTCTAATTTACTTGCGGTATAGACACCAAGCGGCAGACATTTGGCATTTGTCAGATCTACTTACCGTCACCTTAATGCCGGCATGCTGGAGAGGTGAAGTCAACTAAACATATTCCTCATAACCTTACCTCAAGCCGGCATAATGGAGTTGCTTAGCAAACCAAAAATTTCTTGATAACCTTATTTCTTGGCGACTGTCACGAGATCAGCTCTCTGGCTGCAGGTGTTTCCATTATCTGGGTGTACCTTGAATCCAATTCATTGATTTGACGTTGATGAAAATCTGTAGAAAATATCCCGAATCCTAAATAATGTGTCGTAATTTTTCAGACGACGTTGACGATAATCCCCAAGATTTATAAAGATTCACTGGAATTAGGAACTTTCGTCTGTTCCTTATTCCAGTGAATCTTTATAAATCTTGGGGATTATCGTCAACGTCATCTGAAAAATAACGACACATAATTTAGGATTCGAGGATATTTTCTACAGATTTTCATCAACGTCAAATCAATGAGTTGGATATTGAAGTCATAGAAATAAAATTAGAGGTTATTAAATGAAGTTTTAGTAGAACCCAAAATAACTTGCTAGTTATTGCATGTCACTTAATGTCTAGCTTAACGTATTTATAATTAAACGGGTACTGAAAAGATGGCACTGAACAGTAGAAGAAACTAAATTCCCAGGATCTTAACCACTTGCAACTGAACAAATAACAGGATGATTGCGGTTCTATCGTAACCGCACGATTGAACATGCAGTGGACAGAGATGGAGCCGCGCAGACATCTGTCAAATTATTCAAGGTGAAAACAGACGTGCCAAAGGATGACGTTATAAGAAAGAAGCTGTCTCTAAACCGAAATCAAAAAATAGCCTAAGGCATTATTGATCCATGAAGAATAAAAATGCACAATGAGATACATTTATCTCTTTCTACGTATAGCTGTAAATAATAAGTTATTTGATTTGAATATACAAATTAAATAATCAATTTATCAACATATAATCAATTATAATCAAATAAAATAATCAATTTATCAACATATCATCGACATCAATAGTGCGGGCGCCACACCGGCACACTGAAATGCGAAAAAACATGCATTTTTTCTAATACCTTACATCAAACCGGCAGTAAGTGGTTGACCAGGTCAACCAATTACATCTTAAATAAGGAGAGATGGAGATTGGAGATGCGACAGTCCGACAGTCAACATAATTTAAACCAACCGCCAATTAATGCAGTAGTAATGAAACATAAGCATAAGGCTGGCTTCTTTGATAATTAAAACAAAATGCTTTCGTAAATCTTATATTAAAGGTTATGAATTTAATCGTTTGTAAAACGATTGGAAGATTGAATATAAAATTAGTTAAACAGGAACTACTTTAACTTACTCCTTTGATAGCGTGAAAAACTCTACAAGCATTTTGTTAAAAATTTAGTACCTTCCAAAGTTGAAGAATTTCTTTTATAAATTCGAGGTTATTGCTATTTCCTCGACTAAGTGCCGTGAAAATTTAATAAACAAAATACCTGGCCTGCAAATTCCGTCATTTAAAAAAATGATAATCCTTTGATTCAACGCGACTCTTGAAGGTCGTGTTGTTTGGTATGATCGTTGACGGCATGTCAAGGATCATATGTAATGTCAGTCTCACGTAAATAGCTTCTGCGAGGCCATCAGCCTTTAAAATTACATTCCCAAAGTTAGATGTTGTCAAGCATGCTCATTATCCTTCTGATGGTAGAGATAGAAATTATAACCTCCCGCGCTTTATCCATAATATTAAATAAGAAATTAAATCTTACCTGCTGGAATGAACATTTTTTAATTGTTGCCATTGAAGATTGATAGGTCACGAAGAATTTTAACGAGCATATATAAGAAGTTTGAACACCTAGGAACACTCCAGTGTCGTGTTAATGGCCTTCGAAGTATGATCGCGGTGAGAACGCACTCCTCTGATGCTGATTTTGAAAAGACAACTTTTTAGATGTGATAAATTTAGTTTTCTTTTGAAACAATTGAAATTTAAATACTACTTTGTAACATTTTTGTCTTAATATAATAAGTTAAATAGCTTCGCAGCAAACATTTGTGATTTGTTGCATAATGCAGTTGCTATTCTGTTTTTATTTGTTCGTGCAATTGAAACTTTTGATTGCACATTCTCTGATTCTGGTTGCATTTAAATCTCTGTGTTTGATTGATTTTACCTTCATCCTGACATCTTTAACTCTAACTAATCGCTTTTAATTCAAAATAAAGTATGTTCGACAGCTTCTTCTGTTCGTTTTCTTGTGCTCGGCCATCGCGGCCCCCCAAGGGAGTCCCCGTAAAACTGTGCCAATTCTGGTAAACGCCAGAAATGGTCCTGATGCGGATGGAAACTTTGATTTCAGGTCATTTTTGCCAGTATAAGTTCGTCACTTTAGAAAGATGTATAAATGTTGACAACAATGGAAACTTCTGCTGATATAGCAAATTTTCCGTTGTTTCATCTTTGATTGTAATTTTTCCATACATCTGAAATTCTTGTCTTCTTGCTCCAATACAATTATTTTCATTGACTCATTATTTCTTTATCGGTCTTGACTAACGTTTCAAATTCAATTTTCATATTGTGATTCCATTATTGAATTGAAAATTTCTACTCATTCATTTGTCTTGCTAAAAGTATTTAATAAATTCGTCAGATACGAGACGGGGGACGGCATCTTGCACGAGGCGCGGGGACGCAACGACGGGGACGGCATCGTCAGAGTTCAGGGACGATACTCGTGAGTGTGAACATTGAGTGAGGATCTCTACGGTAAAAATTCGTCTTTTTATTGTTAAAAATTTCATGGATTTTACTTTTCAGACTAAATCGACAGAAAATATATATTTTTTTAAATTTGAATTGAATGCAACGTCTGTCGTGTAGAGGCTTAGAAATATTAAGAGGCTTAATTCTTAGAAAAATATTTCCTGCCCAATAATATTTTTTTTGTCAAAGTTCGTTCAACGACCTCGCGCACATGCTAGAAAAATATGAACTTCTTCATTCTATGAATGAACTAAAAATTACTTCATTCCGATTGAGACTTAATCCATTATCGATTCTCCATTTGTTATTTTACGCAACCGAGACGTTTTCGCCCTAATAAAATTATTATGACAAACAGGTCATTATTATGACAAACAGGTTCACGTCTCCTGAAGGCGAGGTCGTCAAGATTTCCTACACTGCGAAACATTATGATAACAATTAAGAATTTTATACTGTTACTTGCACCAGGTTCAGGTCTCCTGAAGGAGAGGTCGTCGAGATTTCCTACACTGCGAAACATTATGATAACAATTAAGAATTTTATACTGTTACATGCACCAGGTTCACGTCTCCTGAAGGCGAGGTCGTCGAGATTTCCTACACTGCGAAACATTATGATAACAATTAAGAATTTTATACTGTTACTTGCACCAGGTTCACGTCTCCTGAAGGCGAGGTCGTCGAGATTTCCTACACTGCGAAACATTATGATAACAATTAAGAATTTTATACTGTTACTTGCACCAGGTTCAGGTCTCCTGAAGGCGAGGTCGTCGAGATTTCCTACACTGCGGACGAGCGCGGCTTCCTGGCGTCCGGCGACGCGCTGCCC